TTTGGGATCTTTTATATTTCTTGGGACTGGATCTTTGAGTGCCTGTCTAGGTTTGGAAAGTTTTCTTGTAGGATTTCATGGAATAGGTTATCAATGCCCTTAGGAGTCTCTTCACCTCTGGGATACCAATTATCTGGATGTTTGAACGTTTGATGATATCTAATATTTCTTGTTTACTATTCTCATTTTTGGGGGGCCATTTTCTCAGTTTTCATGGTGGCTTTTTCCCAGCGATTCTAAACTCTACATCTGAAATTCAATTTTCTGTATGATCTAGTCTGCTTTTAATACTTTCAAGGGAGATTTTTGACTTCCTGTATTATAGCCTTCATCTCTAACAAGACCATCTGATTCTTTTTTAGAGTGTGTAATTCCTTTTAGATCTTGCAAGAATTTCCTCACCTCCTGAAACTCGTCAGCTCTTTTCTCCTGTCTTTTCTGCAGTTCATTGTCTCTCTTCTCTTATATCTCTGTTAGCTTCATCATTTTGAATATTCTAAATTCTTTATCAGACATTTCCATGATTTTCATTGTACTGTCTGAGGATGAAGAGGTGTTATTCTTTTCCCTTGGAGGAGAGGTATTGTCTTGTTTTCCCATATTTCTTGTGATCCTGCAGTGATTTCTAGTAATTTTTTGGATGGTGCATTTCTTCCTAATTTTTGAAGTTCAATCTGAGCGTCCAGAGGTACGCAGAAGGAGGTGATCTGCAATCTTTATTCTGTTCTTTTTTCACTTTTTGTGCATCAGATTCAGGGTGAAGAGAGGAATATTCTGACCCTAATCATATTTAGATGATTGGACACTGTTCACTTGGACCCGTCTAGACACTTGGTGCATAGAGGCTGATCAGAAAATGAATAAAGATAAAGAAAAAAAGAAAAGAATTAAGGAGAGGAAAGAAGAAAAAATAAAATGAAAAGGAAAAAGAAGAAAAAAGAGGATTAAAAACCCATAAAATTATAATTTTAAAAAGCAAAAATGGAAACTGGGCGGCATGCGTGCACCAAAATTTCACAGCTGAAGTATGGTATCCATATCAGGATAGACCTGGCTTGGCAGGGGGCCTTTCTAAATGAATGGATGAAGTGAGGAAAGGCACCAGTTAACACAATAAAGGAGAGGCTTGAGAGCCCAGAGAATACTTTACCTTGAAAAAAAAAATTAGAAGTCACAGGGAGACACAGCAAGACAGAGAGAGAGAGACAGACAGAAATGGAGAGAAAGAGACACAGAGCTATCCCTACCCACTAGAAATGTGTCTGGAGGGGGAAGTCTCAGCAGAAAATCTTCATTTTTGGTCAAGGAAACTAATATTTCACAGCCGAAGTACGGTATCCATATCAGGATAGGCCTGGCTTTGCTGGTGCCTTTCCTAAATCCTTAAATTAAAATTTTTTTAATTACTAGAGGGTACACATGCTTACCAGAGAGAGAGAGAGAGCACAAGCACTTCCTAGTAGGGTATGGTCAAGCCATAGTCCCTTCTCCATTTCTCCATCCTGTTGGGATAAGCGGCACAGCATATACACACATGTACCTGGAATATCCTTCAAGTCTCCCAGGTTGCAGAGTTGGGACTTAAATTGTGATTGGCCATGTGAGATCTGACTCCCTTAACCTAGGCTACAAGGTTGGCCCTAATTAAAAAAAATTTTTTTGAGAGGTTTTTCCTATAGAGCATGTGCACTCGCCAGAACGACAGAGAGAGACAGAGAGACAGTACACTCCCCCCCCCCATGGCCCCCCCCCAACCCCCTCCTTTTGGTATTTTGGGCACACATACACACGCGCGCCTGGTGTGAGTATAAGCCACCCTGTCTGGGACTCAAACTGCGGTCGACTACATGAGAGTTCAGCAACATAGCCATTACGCCAATTGTTGCCCCCCTCACCCCCGTTTTTTTTAGTTTGCTTTATGGGGTCGGCAGGTGGCGTGGTGGTTAAGGCACTAGACTCTCATGTGTCCCATCAAGTTCTGGACTTGGCAGCCTGTTTTCTCACGTTCTCTTTCTCTCTCAGTCTCTTTCTAGTCAAATTAAAAATAATAATGATAATAAATAAAATATTTAAATTTTAAAAATTTGCTATAGAGTACATGTGCTCATCCAGGGTAGAGAGAGAGAAGGAGAAGGAGGGAGGGAGAGAGGGAAGGTAAGAAAGCTTGATGGCCATGCAGCAATCCTTTCTGTATTCACCTCTTGGGATTCTGGGTTGCACGCACACACAGCCAGTGTGTTTTTTTAAACCGAAGTCAGCAGGGACCAATAGATGATGTAGTGGTTACTTTGCTAGACTCCCATGTTGTTGACTGTGATTTGAGTCCTGTACCCTGTGGCTTAAAACCCACGCTGGGCTGTGTGTGCCCACATTCCTGAGAGGATAGAGGAAAATGGAGAAGGGATTGTGAAGGGCCATCCCTCTGGGGAAGGGTGAGTAATTTCTTGCTTTCTGTCTCTCTGGCCAGCACACATGCCCTATAGAAAAAAATCTCTCAAAAACAAAACAGAACAAAACAAGACAAAAAATTCAGTTAGCCATATGGGATCCAGCCACCTTAACCACTGCCACCTGCTGGCCCCTAAATTAAAAATTTAAAAGCAGTACATGAGATTAAAATAATTTGCTTAAGACTTCACACCAGAGTGTCAAAGCTAGTAATTGACTCTAGAACTTATTATATAGTGGCTCTGATACCATTTCAGTTATATAAATAATAGCTTATTATCATTTTCTTAATATTTAAAGGTTCTCTAATAGGTCCCAGATGTATATATCTATATGTCTGTATCTATATATCTACCTATATAATATTTTTTAAAGAATTATTTCATTTTGGGGCCAGGAGGTGGTGTGGTAGTTAAAGGTGCTGGACTCCCACATGGCCAACTATGGTTCAAGTCCCTTACCTGGTGGCTTGCTTTCTCACTTTCTCTCTCTCTGTGTCTCTCTGATGAAACTGGCAAATAATAATGATAATAAATAAAGTTAAATAAAATACTTCTAAAAAATAATTATTTCATTTTATTCATTATTATTTTAATTTGCTTTAGGGCATGTGTATTCATGAGATAGAGAGAGAGAAGAAGAAGGAAAGCAAGCTGCCAGGCCTGGGACTCAAACCACAGTTGAGCATGTGGGAGTCCAGTATCCTGACGAACACACCACTTGTTGTCCCTGGCACATATATATTTTTTACATTTTCTATGGGTGGCCTGGCAGGTAGTGTGGTATTGGGCCAGCAGCATGTGTTTGCTGGACAAAGAGAAAGAGAAAGTGAGAGAAAGTGACAAATCACCCCCCACGGTATGGCCACACTATAATCCCTTCTACTCTACTCCCCTCTGGGATTTTGTGTAGTCATGCAGTTGAGCTTGGAGTGTCCTTTAAGCTGCTGGGTCTGGGACTCAACCACAGAGTGAGCCACATGGAATCCAGCTACCCAAACCTCCATGCCATGTGCTGGCCCAAGACCTCGTATTTTTATGTGTAATGTACATTATACTTTTTTTTTTTTTTTTTTTTTTTGGAGAGGTTTTTGCTATAGGGAGTGTGTGCTCTCCAGAAAGACACAGAAAAACAAAGAGACAGAAAGCGAGAAATCGCCCCCCAAGGGGGAAGACCAAATTGCAATCTCTTCTCCTCCATTCTCTTCTCAGGATCTTGGGCACGCATGCACACACGCCCAGTATGAGTTTAAGCCACCAGATCCGGGACTCGAACCGTGTTGGACTACATGGGAATTCAGCGACGTAGCCATTATGCTAACTGCTAGTCCCAACTTTTTTTTTTTTTAAGAGAGATTTTTGCCATAGGATGCAGGCTAGAGAGACACAAAGCCAGAAATCACCCCCAGGGGAGATGACCATATCACAATCCCTTCTCCATTCTCCTCTCAGGATTTTAGGCACGCACACATGTGTGCTCGGTATGAGTATTAAGCTGCCGGCTCCAGGACTCAAATCGCAGTTAACTAAGTAGGAGTATAGCAACATAACCTTTATGCCATCTGCTGGTCTCAACATTACACATTGTGAGGCATGTGATGGTATTCAAAGGTTATAAGCAGGGGCTGGCAGGTGGCATGATGGTTGAGGCACTGGACTCCCATGTGGCCAACCAGAATTAGAGTTGTGGACCTGGCAATTTACATTCTCTCTCTTTGTCACTCTCTGGTCAAATTGAAGAAAAATAATAAAATAAATAATTCTTTTTAAAAAAAGAAAACAGGGACCAGCAGATGGCATAATGGCTATGTCGCTGGACTGCTATATAGTTGACTGTGGTTTGAGTCCTGGAGCCGGTGGCTTAAACTCGCGTTGGGCGTGTGTGTGTGCATGCCCAAGATCCCGAGAGGAGAATGAAGGGATTGTGGCTTGGTCATCCCCCCTGGGGGGTGATTTCTTGCTTTCTGTCTCTCTGTCTCTCTCTTTCTGGTGAGCGCACACACCCTATAGCAAAACCTCAACAAAAAAAAAAAAGGAAAGAAAGAAAGTAAACAAAAGTTATAAGCAAAGGCCAAGAAAAATTAATAAATTGCTTATAAGAACAGTGGCCATTTTTCTTTCTTTTTTTTTTTTTTTTTGAGGGGGTTTTTTCGCTAAGGGTGCTCGTGCTAGGGCGCGTGTGCTCACCAGACAGAGAGAAACATAGAGACAGAAAGCGAGAAATCACCCCCCAGGGGGGATGATCCCGCCGCAGTCCCTTCTCCTCCATTCTCCTCTCAGGATCTTGGGCACGTACGCACACGCACCGGGCGTGAGTTTTAAGCCTCCAGGTCCGGGATGCGAACCGCGGTTGACTACGTGGGAATCCAGCGACATAGCCATTATGCTTTCTGTCTCTGTCTCTCTGTCTTTCTGGCGAGCACAGGCACCCTATGGCGAAAACCTCTCCAAAGGAAAAAAAAAGTTACTTAAAATGTTAGATCCATGTTTAAAATGTATATTTTATATTATTTTGCTTTGGAATAAGTGCCTTTTTTTCTTTTAAATTGATAGCCATGCAAGAAGCGAAGAAAAGATGACGACCTATCCTCCTGCAAAACAATTACAAAATATTTATCACCAACGGGAAAAACTGGAGATAGGGTTTTCTCTCCACCCAAATCCAGTAATATTATGAATTATTTTCCAAAGACTTCGCCCACAAATGACAAGACACAGTCAACGAAAGGGTGTAAGACAAAGTTACCTGTACCACTGCTCGTTGACAGGAGAGACTGTAAGACCCCTCTCCAAAGGCGGCTTACAGTCCAACATATAGCGTTTAAGAAGAAAGGAAAGAGAATTAAGTTATCTCAACAACTAAATCACATGAGAAATGAAAGTGAGTCTCCAATTGAAATTAATAGTGATGATAGCAAAGAAGGCTCTAGTTTAAGTAATGATTTTGTGGACGATAGTACTTCTGTTTTACTTGACAAGAAAGATGTAGAGGTACTTGCAGAAAGTATTCAAGATTTCAAAAGTCATTCAAGTACTATGACTACTCAAAAAAATCGTAAGAAAGCAAATCCTAAAGAAGGGACCACAAAAAGTGATCAGAAGAAGTTGAGAAAAAGAAAGCACACAGATGTAATAGATCTAACTGAAAATTTACCTTTGGCCAAGGGAGTAAATCTTAAAAAAGGTGGTAAAGATGTTAAACAGATAATACCTTCTTTAACTAATGAAATCGACAGTACTACAAACGATGCAAACGCTAGAGCTAATGTGACTGAAACAGCTCGGTTAACTGAGAGTACAATCACTGTCTCATATGAGGAATTTTTAAAAAGTCACAAGGAGAATAAAGTGGAACAGATACCAGATTCTACAATGTCAATTTGTGTCCCTTCTGAGACTGCTGAAGACATAGTCAAAAGCGATGATATCAGTGATACAGAAAACTGTGAAATTTCCCAGCAGGTACGCTTTAAGACAGTTACTGTTCTTGCACAAGTTCACCCTATTCCTCCTAAAAAGACAGGAAAAATACCCCCAATTTTCTTGAGACAAAAGCCGTGTGAAATGGAGAGTAGTCTATCTGATCCTGAGAATGAACAGACTGTTCAGAAAAGGAAATCTAATGTTGTTATACAGGAGGAAGAATTAGAATTGGCAGTGTTGGAAGCTGGAAATTCTGAAGCTGTGAAACCAAAATGCACTCTAGAAGAAAGACAGCAGTTTATGAAAGCATTTAGGCAGCCAGCATCAGAGGCACCTAAAACTGTAGTTAAAAAATCTTCTGATAAGCAGAAAGACCTCAATGAAAAAATTTTAAATGAAGAAGGAAAAGACAGTTCTAAAAAAATCATGGAAAATACTAATATCCAAATAGTTTCAAATAATGGCAATTCACAGCCACATGCTGATAAAGGACGTTTTTCTAAGGAGAAAAATAAAAAGCAAAAGAAAAAAGGTAAGAAAACGTTAGGTATGGGGACTCTTCCAAGTGAAAACAGAGAGGGAAATACTCAAAAGAAAGAAACAACCTGTTCCTTAAAAGACAGACAGAATCAACATAGGCTTAGCATGAGTTTAAGACAAAAGAAGACAGAAGTTTTCAAATGCAGCACATTATTTAACACTAAAAGTATTATTTGTGAAGATAAAGCAAATGATGGTCCTGTAAAGATTTCCTCCTCTCTGTATAAAAACAATAAATCATCGAGAAAGACCAGCACACCAGTTAAAGATGACAAAGTTCTACATTCTAAAGCCGGACTTGAAGACAGCTTGGGGAATGTTTTTACACCGAGATCAACCAGAAGATCTGTAAGAAGTAACAGCACACCTATTACAGTAACCATTAGAGATACTGATTCTGAAGGCGAGCAGGATAATAGTTCTGTAAAGACTTTAACTCCGAAAGCAGCCAACTTTCTGGAAAAACATAGCCTGTACACAGCAGAGTTAATAACTGTACCCTCTGATTCAGAAAGCCCTATTAGGTAAAGATCTGTTTTTGTTCTAAAGTTCCAGTATTGTTGCATGTATTAATAGCTAAGAAGGAAAATACATTAAACATTAGAGGATTTTTGTTTTGTTTTGTTTTTGTTCTTTTTTTTTCCTGAAACACAGCTGCTTTATAAGAATACGGTTTCAAAATACTTCCTGTTTTCCATGTTTAATTTAAAGACAGTCTTAATTTCAGAAGAGTTCTATCAATTGATACATTTTATAAGTTGTCTTTTAGTTTATTTTTAGAATTTTGACAGAGGGTGCATGCACTTGTCAGACATGCAGAGGGAGGGGGAGAAAGCACTCCCTGGTGGAGTGTGTTTAGGCTATAATCCCTTCTCCATTTCTTTATCCTATCAGGAGTTTGGGGATACACACACTTCCCCGATGTGTTTTTCAGGCTCTCAGGACCAGGATTTAAACCGCATGGTTAGCCATGTGGGATTTGACTTCCTTACCATGAGGCTGTAGGGCTGGCCCATTCATTCATTTCATTTATTTATTTAATGCTAGAGGATATTTGTGATTCCAAAGAGAGAAAGAAGAACACCATCTCCTTTTTTCCTCTGTTAATGTATCCTGTTCAGATCCTAGACATAGCTTGCCCTCAATATTGCCAGGGCCAGGATTTGAACTGTGGTCAGACATGTGGGATCTGGTCTCCTCTACACAGTGCTTAACTACTGCTTTATGGGGCTAGCCCTATATGAGTTCTAAACTCTTATTGTTTACTGTTGCTAATCACTGGAGAAATACCCTTTAAACATGAATTCTGTTTACTTAGTAAATATAAGATTAAACATCAGAATGTTATTTCCTGGGTAAACTAGTCTGTACACTATGAAATATATAGTTGCTTACTGGTTCTCAATAATTTAAGAATGATGCTAGGGGCTAATTTTGTTTTTTTCTTTTTTTTTGTAGAGAAGTTTTTGCTATTGGGCACGTACAGTAGCCGGAGAGACAGAAACAGAGAGACAAAGCTAGAAATCACCCCCAGAGGCGATGGCCATGCCACGGTCCCTTCTCCTCTGCTCTCCTCTCAGGACTTTGGCCACGCATGCACATGCGCCCAGTTTGACTTTTAAGCTGCCAGGTCCAAGACTTGAACTGTGGTCCACCATGTGAGAGTCCAGCAATGTAACCATTATGTCATCTGCTGATCCTGTTAGGGGCTAATTTTCAATCTTATAATTTCTTTTTTTTTAATGTATTTTTTATTTTAGTGATTTTTTCTGTAGGGTAGGTACATGCACTCCCTGGAGAGACAGACAGAAAGCTTGAAATCACCCCCAGGGCGATGGCCATGCCACAATCACTTCTCCTCCATTCTCCTCTCAGGATTTTAGGTGTGCATGCACACACACTCTGTGTGAGTTTTAAGCTGGTGGGTCTGAGTCTCAAACTCTGGTCAATTACGAGGGAGTTCAGCAACATAACCATTATGCAATTTGCTGGTCCCCAGTCTTATAATGTCTAAAGGAAATCATACAGAATTTGGCTTCTATTTTTATTTTTCCCTCTTTTTTTTTTTTTTTAAGAGAGATTTTTGCTATAGGGCATGTGCACTTGGCGGAGAGAGAAAGAGACAGAAAGTGAGAAACCATCCCCCAGGAGGGATGGCCACACTACAGTCCCCATTCTCCTTCTGGGACTTTGGACATGCACACATGCGCCCCCAGCGTGAGTCTAAAGCTTCCAGGTCCAGGACTCAAACCATGGTTGACCATGTGGGAGTCCAGAGATGTAGCCATTATGTTATCTGCTGGTCCCTTGGCTTTTCTTTTTTGTTGTTGTTGTTTTTATTTTAATAATTTTTTTAAGAATTATTTTATTTAACTTTATTTTTATTTTAACTTGATCAGAGAGAGAGAAAATGTGTGAGAGAGAGAAGGAAAGAGGGAAAGTGAAAGCAAGCCGCCAGGTCCGGGACTCGAACCATGGTCAGCCATGTGGGAGTCCAGCACCCTTAACCACCATGCCACTTGCTGGCCCCTTTTAAGAATCATTTTATTTGGGGACCAGCAGTTAGCGTAATGGCTATGTCGCTGGACTCCAATATAATTGACTGTGGTTAGATTCCTGGACCCAGTGGCTTAAACTCAGGCCGGGTGCATGTGCGTGTGTGCCCAGGATCCCGAGAGGAGAATTGAGGAGCAGGGATTGCGGCGTGGCCATCTCCCCTGGGGGGTGATTTCTCGCTTTCTGTCTCTCTGTCTCTGTCTTTCTGGTGAGCACACGCGTCCTATAGCAAAAACTTCACTAAAAAAGAAAAAAAAAAAAGAATCATTTTCTTTTAACTTTATTGTTATGTTTTCCACCTTGCCAGAGAGAGACAGAGAGACAGGGAAAGCGAGAAAGCAAGCCACCAGGTCTGGGATTTGAACCATGGTTGACGATGTAGGAGTCCAGTGCCTTTAACCACTATGCCACCTGGTGGCCCCCTGTTGTCTTACTTTTCAATCAGTAGTTTGAATTGGTAGTAGTTCTTTCCTCCTGATTTAGAAGTTTAGAAATTGGAGTCCTAGATAGTTCTTTTCTATATTTAATTAAGATTCTTACACATTATAATCATAATTATGTTTCTGAATGCCCTATCTCTTCTTTTTAAGAATGAAATTCACCAGAATTAGTACTCCAAAAAAATCGAAGAAAAAATCTAAGAAAAGATCTGCCAAATCTGAAGTAAATGATGGAGATTTTGCGTCTCAGACTAGAAAGGTAATTAAAATATTGAAGCCCTATAAGTGGTATTCTATTTCCTTTAAATACGTGCATGCACACACACACACACACACACACACACAACTATTAGAAGTAATATGCCAAAAGAAGACTCATATATTTCATAAATTGTTTAGCTACAACCCAAATTATTTTCACTACTGTCTTTACTTCTTAGTTTATTTATTACTTTTAAAAATAATTATTTAATTTTATTTATTATTATTTAAATTTGCCATAGGGCACCTGTGCTCACCAGAGGGAGACAGAAAAAGAGAGAGGAAGTGAGAAAGTAAGCCGCCAGATCTGAGACTTGAATTATGGTTGGTCATGTGCGAGTCCAGTGTTTTAAGTACCACACCACCTGCTGGCTCCTCTGCTTAGTTTATTAAAATGTCAAGATATTGTTGAGACAAAAGCAACTGATAATGAGATAAAAGCAAAGAGCAAAGGGTAATTTATTTAGAAAATACTTTCTTAGTATTATATTCTAATAATATTCCCTAAAGCTGCCTTAGATTGAGCTGGTATAAGAAATTGCCCTGTGGGACCAGCAGTTAGCATAATGGCTATGTTGCTGGACTCCCATGTAGTCGACTGCGGTTCAAGTCCTGGACCCAGTGGCTTAAACTCATACCAGGCACATGTACGTGTGTGCCCAAGATCCCGAGAGGAGAATGGAGGAGAAGGGATTGTGGCGTGGCCCTCCCCCCCCCCCACCCCGGGGGTGATTTTTTGCTTTCTGTCTTTCTGGTAAGTGCACGTGCCCTATAGCAGAAACCTCTCCAAAAAAATAAGAAAAAAATAAAAGAAATTGCCATGAATAGGGTAGCCTAGGTCACAAAATTTTATTTCTCAGAGTTCTAGGAACTGGCAAATTGAAGATCAAGGCACCAGCAGCAGGTCCTGTCTGGTGAGGACACCCTTCCTGGTTTGTAGACAGTCATCTCCTGTGCTTACTTGGTAGAGAGCAGACAGAGAGAGCTCCACCCGCATGACCTAATTATCTCCCCAAGGCCCACCTCCTAATAACGTCCTATTGAGGGATAGGATTTCTTTCTTAGATAATTTTTTAAATGTTTATTTATTTATATTGGCAGAAGGCACTTGCACTTGCCTGAGAGAGGAAGAGGGAAAAGGAGAAAAAACCCTTAAGTGGGGTGTGGTCTTGCTGCATCTTCTTCCCCATTTCTATATCCTGCTAGGACTTGGTGCACATGCATGCTCCCAGCCTATTGTTCTTTCTTTCTTTCTCTTTAAGAATTATTTATTGAATTTTATTTATCATTATTATTATTCTACAATTTGCTACAGGGCATATGTGTTCGCCAGAGAGACTGGGGGCGGGAGGAGTGAGAAAGCAAGCCACCAAGTCTGGGACTCAAACTGCAGTTGGCCATGTGGGAGTCTAGCACCTTAACCACCATGCTACCTGTTAGTCCCTCCAGTATATTTTTCAAGCTACCCAGCTTGGGGTTTGAACCAAGCCATGTGAGATCAGGCCCCTTTCACCATTAGGCCACAGGCTGGCTCTAGGAGTTCTTTTTAATTTAAAAAAATTATTATTTAACTTTATTTATTATTATTAATTATGGAATTTGACTAGAGAGAGAGTGAGGGAAAGCGAGAATTCAAGCTACCAGTTCTGGGAATAGAACCACACACAGCTGGCCATGTGGGAATACAGCACTGCTAACCACCATGCCACCTGCCAGCCCCTTTAGGATTTCAACATATATTTAGTCTGTAACACTCCCTATAGGTCAGGATTAAATTTTTGGTTAATTTCTGTAGATTACAAGCTTAAAAGCAAGGTTTCTCAACCTTAGTTTTTTTTATATATTGGGCTGGATAATTCTTTTTTATGGAGGCCTCTCTTTCACATTTCAATATGTTTCACAGTAACCCTGGTCTTTACCTGTAAGATGCCAGTAGTAGCACCTTAACTCCTCTGGTTACAACAGTTAAAAATGTCTTTGGACTGGAGCTGGCAGGTGGCATGGTGGTTAAGGGTGCTGGACTCCCCAGCAGACCACAGTGGCAGACCACAGTTCGAATCTCAGACTTGGCGGCTTGCTTGCTTTCTCATTTTCTCTCTCTCTATGTCCCTGTCTGGTCAAATACACACACACACACACACACACACACACGTATATATACACATACACACATACACACACACATACATACATACCCATAAATAAATAAATGTATGTTTAAAAATAAAAGAATTGTATAAAAGTCTTTGGACAGCGCTAAATACCCCTTGGAGGGGGAAAAAAAAAACATTTTAAAAAAACTTCTGCTCTAAAGGAGAGGTAGGCTACAGAAGAATAGTTTAGTTGTGTCTACAAAATAAACTGCTTATCCCCATCATGGGGGAATTAAATTCCCTCCAGGTTCAGTTTGTACAGATATGCGTGTTTTGAAAAGGTTTCCAAGTTGACTCTGATATAATCTGGGTGGAAAACCACTGCTACAGAAAGTTGGTATCTCTCTCATTATTTGACAGCTTATCACATTCTAAGCACCGTGCTTTGTACTCACATCATTAATCTTGTAAAAATGTATTATTTAATCCTGCTTTATAGATGAAGCTTGCATTTAGTTCTTGGGATGGGGGGATGGTGGTTTATATTTGACTCTGGGAAGTACCTATAATTATAAGTAGTTTTTCTTTTTTTAACTGCCTTTTTTTTTTTTTTGGAGAGGATTTTGCTATAGGGTGCGTGCGCTCGTCAGACAGACAGAGAGAGATAGAGAGATAGAAAGTGAGAAATCACCCCCCAGCGGGGATGGCCACACCGCAATCCTTTCTCCTCCATTCTCCTTTCGGGATCTTGGGCACGCACGCGCCTGGCGTGAGTTTAAGCCACTGGGTCTGGGACTCGAACCGCGGTTGACTACGTGGGAGTCCAGCGACATAGCCATTACGCTAACTGCTTGTCCCCTTTTTTTTAACTGCTGAATATATTTTTTAAAGAATTATTTTATTGAACTTTATTTAATTTGATCAGAAATGTACATAGAGATGAAAAGAGAGAGATGGAGGAAAAGTTAGAAAGCAAGCCGCCAGGTCCGGGACTCAAACTGCAGTCAATTATGTGGGAGTCCAACACCCTTAATCACCATGCCACCAGCAGACCCCTAGCTGTAAGTAGTTTTTCTATGCAAAAATGTGTCACAACTTATCCAAGGACCCAACAGATGATAGTTTAATAGTTACATGCTTATTTTTACAGAGTTTTTTTTTTTTCTGTGCTTAAATAGATGTATTACTATTATTATTTCTTAAAGAATTATTCAATTTTTTTTTCTTTTTGGAAAAGTGTTTGCTATAGGGTGCGTGCACTTGCCAGAAAGACAGAGAGAGACAGAGAGACAGGAAGCAATAAATCACCCCCCAGGGGGGATGGCCATGCTGCAATCCCTTCTCCTCCATTCTCCTCTCAGAATCCTGGGCACACACGCACATACACCCGGCATGAGTCCAAACCACTGGGTCCGGGACTCAAATTGCGGTCGACTACATGGGAATCCAGTGATATAACCATTACACCAATTGCTGGTTCCCCAAAATAGACTAATTGTAATTAGACACATTTTAATTCAAGTTCTCTGAGAAGATTTGAATAACCATTTCTGGATTATTTAATGTGATTCGTGGTTATGTTTTTCCTTTTTTTTTTTTCCATTATTGAATATAAAACATTTCACAATGATCTAAGTTAATATTTCAAATTTTTATTTAGGCAAGCAATGCATCAAAAAATATATCAAAAGCAAAACAGTTGATTGAAAAAGCAAAAGCTTTACACATCAGTAGGTCAAAGATGACTGAAGAGACGGTGATACCCTTAAGGCGTTCCTCTAGACACCAGGCACTTCCTGAAAAGAAATGCCCAGAGACAGAAGTAAGTATTACAAATATCTGTTGGTATAAGTTTTGTCCTATTTCAGTGTTGCAGTGGGAGAAGGAAACCATTATGAAGTTACAAGGTATTGTGTGATAGCCTTGGAGTCGTATGAAGAGTCTAATGATCAGTTCTGTGTGCAAAGCCTTTGGTTCCCTTTTGCGTACAAAATATAGTCAGAATTTGTCTCAGGTCACTCAGACTCCTTCATGGGCTGAACTGACTCTTCTGAAACAGCTCTTTGCTCTAGCCACACTAAATTATTCACCTCTCCCCAAATGGTACAGTGTTCATTGTTTTTATTTTATTGTCTCAGCTTGAAGTAGACATTCCAGATGCTCTCTTCTCTTTGAAGAATTCCACTTAAACTTTGAAGATTCTGTGAAATGACACTACTTTCTTTCTTTCTTTTTTTTTTAAAGAAAAGCTTTATTGAGCTATAGTTTCCATGCTATACAATGTACCATTTACAGTATGCAATTCAGAGGCTTTTAGTACATTCATAGAATTGTACATCTATCACCACAAAAATTGTACAGCATTTTCATTACCCTTTCTCCCCAATTCTCTCAGCCCTAGCCAATTATAACCTGCTTTATGTTTCCATAGACTTGCCTATTCTGGACATTTCATATAAATGGTATCAAATAATGTGGTCTTTTGGGTGCGACTTTTTTTTTTTTTTTTTTTTTTAGAAGTTTTTGCCTTAGGGCATGTGCACTCACCTAAGAAAGATGGAGACAGTGACAGTGAGAAGGAAAAGTGAGAAATCATCCCCCAGGGTGGGGGTGGCCATGCTGCAATCCCTTCTATTCCATTCTTCTCCAGGGATCTTGGAAATGCATGTACATGCACCCAGTGTGAGTTTCAAAGCCACTGAGTCCAGGAATTGAATGATGATCGGCCGAGTAGAAGTTCAGTGACATAGCTACTATGCCGTCTTCTGGTCCCATGTCTGACTTGGAAACTTAGCATTTGTTTTCAAGATTCATTCATATTGTAGCCTCAGTGTTGCTTTCTTTTTTTTTTTTTTGGAGAGGTTTTTAGCTATAGGGCGCGTGTGGTCGCCAGACAGACAGAGAGAGACAGAGAGATAGAAAGCGAGAAATCACCCCCTGGGGGGATGGTCACGTCGCAATCCCTTCTTCTCCATTCTCCTCTCGGGATCTTGGGCACGCACGCACACGCGCCTGGCGTGAGTTTTAAGCCACCGGGTCCGGGACACGAACCGCGGTCGACTACGTGGGAGTCCAGTGACATAGCCATTACGCTAACTGCTGGTTCCCTAACTTTCACTATTTTAAGAGAGATTTTTGCTATAGGGCATGTGAGCTTGCCAAAGAGACAGAGGCAAAAAGACAGAAAGGGAGAAATCACTCTCCAAGGGAGATGGCTATGCCGCATTCTTCTCTCTTCCATTCTCCTCTTGGGATTTTAGACACGCCTGTACACACGCCTGGTGTGAGTCTAAGCCACCAGTCTGGGACTTGAACTGCGGTCGTCCATGTGGGTTTCCAGCGACATAACCATTATGCCTTTTGCTGGTCCCAATTTTTCACTTTTTTTGAACTTTAGTTGATATTGCTCTGACCATACTATATTATAAATAAACTATCTACTCATGGGTTAGCTATCCCTCTGTCTTCTAAACCCTGATGTTATATTTGAGGCTAATTTTTGAGGGTTTTTTTTTTTTCTCTTTTTTTGGAAAGGTTTTTGCTATAGGGCGTGTGCACTCACCAGACAGACAGAGACAGACAGAAAGCAGGAAATCATCCCCCAGGGGGGATGGCCATGCCGCAATACCTTCTCTTCCATTCTCTTCTCAGTATCTTGGGCATGCACACACACATGCCCGGCGTGAGTTTAAGCCACTGGGTCTGGGACTCGAACCATGGTCGACTACATGGGAGTCCAGCAACATAGCCAATACGCTAACTGCTGGTCCCGAATTTTTGAGTTTTATTTGTCTGCGTATTCCAGTGACTTTTATATTGCTCAGTAAGTGTATGCTAACCACACAAAATAGCAGACTTCATTTTAACATATTTCTTTTTTTTTTTTTTTAAGAGAAATTTTTGCTATAGGGCGCTTGCACTTGCTAGAGAGACAAAAAGTGAGAAATCATCCCCCAGGGGGATGGCCATGCCACAATCCCTTCTCCTCCTGTCTTCTCTTGGGATCTTGAGCATGCACGTACACACACCTGGTGTGAGTTTTAAGCCACTGGGACCAGTACTCAAACTGCGGTTGACTACGTGGGAGTCCAATGACCTAACCGCTATGCCATCTGTTGGTCCCTCTTTTTTTTTTTTTTGGAGAGGTTTTTTTGCTATAGGGCGCATGCGCTCGCCAGAGAGACGGAGAGAGACAGAGAGACAGAAAGCAAGAAATCACCCCCCCAGGGGGGATGGTCACGCCACAATCCCTTCTCTTCTATTCTCCTCTCGGAAAGAATTATCTTATTTATCTTTATTTATTTATTATTATTATTATTTTCAATTTGACCACCAGGGAGAGAAAGAATGCAAGCCTCCAGGTCCAGGATCTGAACCACAGCTGGTCATGTGGTAGTCCATTACCTTTAAATACCATGCCACCTGCTGGCCCCTTGCGTAGCTCTAAAGAGGCACGACCAGAATTCTTTCAAAAATAATTTTTTTTTTTTTTTTACTTTTATCTACATTTATTTTATGCTGACTTTATTCCCGTGCCATAAGTTTTTTTTTTTTCAC